GTGAGTGGGAGTGTGTGTGGGTGATTGTGTGGTGGGGTGAATGAATGAGGAAGTGAGTGGAGTGAGCAGAAAGGAATGATAGAAGGAAGAGGGGGAAGGAGGGAAGTGGGAGAGGGAAAGAAGGGGAGAAATGTGTTGATATTAGTGATTTCCTTTTAACTAATTTATTCATTATATTTTAAACATTTATTTTATATGTATGTGCATGTGTGACTGAGTATATTTATGTGTTCCATGTGCATGTTTGCTTGGTACCTGTATATAGGCCAGATGAGGGTGTTGGATCCTCTGGAACTGGAAGTTGTAAGTCACCTTGTGTGTGCTGGAAACCCAGCCAAGGTCCTCTACAAGAGCAACAAATGTTCTTAACTGCTAAGCCATCTCTCCAGCTCCTGTTTATACTTTTTAAAATTGTTTCTTTTCTGGTTTTTGGAGACAGACTCACATATAGTCCAGGAAGGCTTCAAACTTGCTATGTATCTGAAGATGACACATTGAACACTGGTTCTCCAGCCTCAGCCTTCTAAGAGCTGAGGTTATAGGCATGCATGGCCACACCCAGGTTATGTGCTTCTTTATGTGTTTGTGTTACTGGGGATTGAACATAGGTAGGACTTTGTACATGACCGTACGGTGTTCTGCCACTGAGCTAGACTCCCAGTTTCCCTTTTTTCCCATCATTTTTTTTCACTTTCTATTTTGACAAGGTTTTACTAACTTGACCAGGCTGTCCCTGAACTCACTCTGTAGCTCAGGCTGGCCTTGAATTTAAGAGCAACATTCCTGCCTCTGTCTCTGGAGAGTATCTGGGCTAACAGATTTGCATCACTGGTTCCTACCTATCCTTCTATGGATAGGTAGACAGACAACATGGACAGTGTGAGGAGGGCGCAATGCATACATCAGAGAAGATATGGGTGTCCTACACTATCTCTTCCACTTTTATCCTCTTAAGACAGGTTCTTTCACTGAACTTGGAGCTAGTCTGGCAGACAACAAGTCATAGCAATTCTCCTATCTTTGCCTGCCCCCCATAGGAGTAGGAATACAGGTGTGACCATGCTTGACTTTTTGTATGAATTTTGGGGATTTGAACTATAGTCCACATACTTGCATGGCAAGTATTCTTATCCCCCACGCCATCTTCCCAGGCCCCAGCTTCTTTCATAATAGCAATAAAATATTTGGAAGACAGGTCTAGGGGCTTATACCTGTAATCCCAGCACTCAGGAGACTGAGGCAGGAAGGTTACTTCAAGTGTAAGCTTGAGGCACAGTGTTAGAAAACAAAAACATAGTGGTGCATTCCTGTAATCACAACACATGGGAGATGAGGCAGGAGGATCAGTTTAAGGCTGTCCTTGGCTACATGAAATACTGCCTCAAACAACAACAAAAAAAAATGGATCTGTAGACACAGTTCAGGGGGTTCTTTAATTTATTCTTAAAATATACTTATGTTTAAAATTTTAAGTGATGTTATTTTATATTTAACAAATGTATACTTTGAAAAAGATTTCTCATCTGAGGGCTAGAGAGATGACTCAGCAGTTAGGAGCACTGGCTGCTTTTGAAAAGGACCCAGGTTTGGTTCTAAGCACTTTTTTGGTTTACATGGCAGCTCACAATAGTCTCTCATTCCAGTTCCAGGTGATTGCACACACACCCTTCCCCTTCCTCAGGCATGCACATGGTGTACATATATACATGCAGGCACTTACATATACATATAAAATAAAAATAAGTAAATCCTTTTTTAAAAAAATTCTAATTTTATGCACTGTGATCATAAAGATAAACTGCTAGGAAATTTTCCAAGGAGACAAGAAACTATTATTTTCTAGTGACATTATGTAAAACATTAACACTGTAAGATTACACATACAAACAAAATGAGGAATGACAGCTAAAGGCAGGACACAGGGGTGCAGCGTCTTTAGAAGCACGTGCCCCTCTGAAGCTCATCCTATTACCTCCCAGCTGTCTGGCTCCAAGAACTCTTTCTTCTCTGTAGCTCTCAAGAATTCTTCCAGAGTCACCAATCGGTCTTTGTTGTTATCAATCTGATCAAAGGAAAATATAAAAACATAAATAAGTCACCAGTTAGGACTAGGTTAACATACACAGAAATAAGAGAAGAAAATGAAGAAATGCACTCCATTTTATGGAATCAAGAAACACACATCACCCTCGTTTATATAGTTAAAGCTTGAAAATACAACCTGATATGCTCAAGATCAATACACCGAGTCAGTAATCTGGCTGGTTATGTTGTTATGGCCAATTCCTTCACCACAATAAATGCAATCCAGCTAGACCCAAGTGCTTAGACAAAAAAAATTGCCACTACAGAGCAGCTGCCATAGTCAAAAATAAGCAGGTAAGGTTAAGAGGCTCAACTTACTGCTCTTCCCAGGCACAGGGTATGCTGTCCGAGATGGGGTCTCAACAAATATGGACCTAGCTATGAAGTTCAGTTTGGCCTGAACTTCTAGTAGTTCTTCTGCCTCTGCCTATCAAGTGCTGAGAATAGAGGCATGTATGGCAGTCTGAATAAGAATGGCCCCTAAAGGCTCATATATTTGAAAACTTAGTCATCAGGAAGTAGCACTGTTTGAGAAAGATTAGGAGGTGTGGCTTTATTGGAGTAGGTATGGCCTTGTTGAAGGAACTATGTCACTGGGGGTAGGTTTTGAGGTTTCAAAAGCTCAAGTCTCATTCTCTCTGCCTGCCGATTAGAATGTAGATCTCAACTACTCCCGAGCCATGCTTGCCATATGGGCCACCATGCTCCCTGCCATGATGGTACTAGACTAAGCCTCTGAAACAGTAAGCAAGACCCCAATTAAATGCTTTCTTTTATAAGAATTGCCTTGGCTGTGGTGTCTCTTCATAGTAATAGAACAAAGACAGCATGTACCACCACACCTGACCCAACTTTTTTTTTTTTTTTTTAAGAAATAATATCTAAACCAAAGCAAAAAGTCAAGGGCCTCTCCAAGTCCTCTTCAGTGTTCAGTTCTGGGCAAATTTGGTTACAATGGTGAACTTTAATGACAAAGTAATTAATTTGACACTGGGTCTACAAGACAAGGTCTCTGTTGTCAGTCCAGGCTAACCTCCACTCTACAGAAGCCCCAGTTCAGCACTGAAAGATCAAATATTCCTGAAGAAAGCACTGAAGCTAAACAGCTACCCTGGAGCTAGAGAGATAACTCAGAAGTTAAGAGCACTTGCTGGTCTTAAGAAGATTAGGGTTCAATTTCCAGAACCCACTTTAGTGGTTCACAAATGCCTGCACTTCTAGTTCCAGTCTATAGAGCATATATGCTGATGGAGGACATCCTATGTTACTCAAGGAATGAAGGAAAGCAGGAAAGTTAACAAGGCCAAGGACAGGCCCAGGCACTGTCACATTCAGACTTGAGGAGGGACAGACAGAGGATTCCAAAGACTTGAAGAAGAGGGTGTGAATTGTATCAGAGTGCCAAAACAACACTGCACTGGCCCAGACAGTGGTCGCCTGACAGGATGGTTGCACTGGGATGGCGAAGGCTATAGCACAATCAACACAGGTTGTGAAGGAAATGAGAGGAGACAAACAGGAAGGGAGGAACAAGACTCTGAGAGCAGCCTGGCTGTGAAAGAAAAGTTAATACAGCATCGGTTAAAGGTTGGGATTGGTTCCCAGGGTGGGAAGGAGATGGAGTCTGCCCTCTAGTGGGAGTGATCCAGTAGAGAGACCAAACCTGACTTAAGAGATAAAGGTGGTCAACAGCATGCAGAATGTCTTTGAAGAGAGAGACCAGGACTCCAAGCACGTGAGTAGAGGGCCTTCGACAGGAGCAGCGGCCATGACTACCCACGTATCTGATGCAAGGCAAAATGAATGGTCAGAGTGGCTGGAAGTTTGGTTTGGAAAGACCAAATTTCTCTTGTTTGCACCTATCTTTGTAGGAAACTGAAAGAAAGGGCAGAGGAAGAGGGCATCTTGAGGAGAGCCCAGAATATGTGAGACTTGGATGCTGGAAATGGAGAAGTTAGTGGACCTGGGAGAGTTGCCAGGCCGAGGGCGGGCTAATGATCTGGGTTCATAGCCTGGAACTAGTGAGGCCAGTAGCATGTTTGTGTTAGTCTCCAGCCACAGCTCCAGTACTGGGGGCCAGGGAGATGCAGCAGCAGGGTCACACAATAGAACAAGCACTGTGCTGAGGCAACTGTCCTTCTACTCCTATTTGTCAGCTATTTAACAACATGTATCACTCTGTTCCTAGAGACCCAAGCCAGGGGAAAAAGAAAACCTCACTGAACAAGTAAAGGTGATAAAATAATCAGTTGCTCTAAAATACAAAAATTAAAATTTTATATCTCTGTAATGGTTTATGTTTGTATTGCAATTACTGCTCTGCCCAATAACAAGGTTCTACATCCCTGCCTCCAGCTCAGCATGTGTTGCTGAAACAGCCTGTGAGAGGCACCCATCCTCTCCTGACTGTGGACCCACTTCAGTCAGTGGGATGTGAGCAGACAGGGGGCCTGGATGGCTAGGCATGAGTCTTACACATTACTCCATGAAGCGGTCTTGAGTTTCTTATGTCCCTTATACTGTCCAGTGAGAGAATATTCCTGCAACCTGGGAATGAAGGGTACCAAAAAGCCAAACCACGCTAGGTCCAAGGTCCAAGGGTCCTTCTCATACCCTTGAAGCTTAAGGAAGGTAAATAAGATGTAAATATTTGTTGTCATAATTATTAAGGTAACAGAACTTGAGAATTCTAAAGGCTGAGTACCCCCCTTTCCAAATGTGATTTCAAATTCTGGATTTTTTTTTTTTTTTTTTTTTTTTTTTTGTATTTGAGACAGGGTTTCTCTGTGGCTTTGGAGGATGTCTTGGAACTCGCTCAGTAGACCAGGCTGGCCTTGAATCCTCGAACTCACAGAGATCCACCTATCTCTGCCTACCAAATGCTGGTATTAAAGGCACATGCCACCACCACCCGGCTAAATTTTGGATTTTTAAAAAGAAAATTTTGAGACATTTGCACATACATAATGAGGTTTCTTGGGGTTGGGAGCCCAAACAAAATTGACTTATGGTTCATATATACAACTTATACATACAGCCTGAAGGCAACATTATACAATTTAAAAGTAATTTGGTGCATGAAACATAAAAATTCATGGTATAGGCTTTCCTGTATCTCATATCTCTGTCAGTAATCAGAAAGCATTGAATATTAGAGCATTTTGAATTTCTGACTAGGGCTTTTCAACCCATAAAAGTTTGTGTAGGTTTAAAAATGTTAACTATAAAACATCATTGCTTTTTTTTTTTTTTACTGCCCCAAAATGTTTACTGCTGGTATACTATAGTATCATAATCTTATAAAATATTTTAAAGTGGTTACAAATTACTTTGTTAAAGAAATACAGTATAATATTCTGGTTAAAAATACAAAATCCAATTAAATACCTATTATGGGGGTTGGAGAGATGGCTCAGCAGTTAAAAGCACCTACTGCTCTTGCAGAGGACCCAGGTCCAGTTCCCAGCACCCACATGGCCTCTTACAGCTGTCTGTAACTCCAGTGCCAGGAGATCAGGCATCTTCTTTGGGCCTTCTCAGGTACCAGGCACATCTAAGTACATATATGTACATACAGGCAAACACTCACATATATAAAATAAAAAAAAATAAATCTAAAAAGTAAAAACTGCATATTTATTCTTCCATCTTTTGATTAGAATTAGTGCAATAACTTGAATAATGACAGAAATGGCATACACCCTAACCTTAAAGCATACCTCATTCATGACGTGTTCTCTCATCCTAAGCCTTTCTTCCTCCATTTCTATCATGTCATCCTCTGCATTCCGGGGGTCATACACTTTCTCCAACTAAAAGAAGAAGATGTGACAACCAGCATGAGAGAAAAGGAGATGACTCAGGGGAAGGGAGCAGACGGGACTGAGGACATAACAATTGTTTACCTCTCTTGTGAACAGTGCTTCTAATTCTTGTTCGTCCAGGAATCCATCATTGTTGACATCTAAAGTTTAATAGTTACAAATGCAAAAGCATATTTGAATCCTTCAGGGAACAAATACTTAAAATACAACTATAATGGCTTGCAAAAGTAGTGCTTATGCAAAGTGACAATCGGCTGCAGGAAGGGCTTCATCTTTTTCACAAAGCCTCCAGTCAGCCCAAGGGACAATTCTATATTTGCAGTTCATAATCATGTTTTAGAAAAGTACATACTATCTATTCTTTCCAGAGAGATAGAACAGTATATATAAGAATAAAAATAGTTATAAATAAATAAATAAATAAATATTTAAGCATGGTCTTGCTATGTAGCCCTGACAGGCTTGGTATTCACTATGTAGTCCAGGATAGCCTAACACATGCAGCAATCCTCCTTCCTCAGCTTCCCAAGTGCTGAGATTACAGGTGTCACCACCAGACAACCTTAGTAAAATTTTAATCATCATGTAAAGTTTATTAGATATAACCTAACCAGTCACAAAAGTACCTCCAGTTTACAGAGAGCTTTGGAATGAGTCATACAATGATTCAATAGCAAAAGTGAGCAGAAAGACACAGCTATGATCTAAAATATCTTCTGTGGAGATCAGCTAAAAGACTATTAATAATTTCATCTGAAGGAAAAACTCTAAATATGACAATTGGTAGTACGCAACAGCAAACCATCAGTGATCAATAACGAGGAAATCAAATACAGACTTTTCAAACAGCAGATATAAATATCAATATTTGTATCAAATCTGTTACCATGTAATTTGAAAAATGTCTTGGGGTCAAAGTCATTAGGGTCCAATCCATCAGCCTCTTCCCAAACCTCTTTTAGTTGATCTTTGCTTCCCTGTGAACCAATTTTAAGAAATTGCTCAAAACAAAATATAATCTATGTATATAGACTCAAAAAATATGTCTGAGGAACTTTTCAGAATTAAGACTTGAGAATTATGTGCTAAACTTAGGATAAAATTCTGCTATAAAGAATTCACTTCATCTGAATACAGTTTCCAAAAATCATAGTCCTTACAGGATGATTGACTTTGGGGTGATTTTCATGCTTCCTCTTCATTTCTTCAAATTTAGATTCTTCTTCTTTTCTCTTTTCCTCATTCAGTGTTTTTAAATATTCTCTGCGCTCGTGTTCCTTCATCATCTCATACTTCTTAAACTCTTCATGCCGAGTCCGGTCATATTGCTCCAGATCTGCAGTTGCCTAGGGCACACATATTCAAATCAATATGCTAGAGAAGTGTAAATGGCCATTGTGTTTTCTTCCTCTCTCATGCATGTGTGTGGGGTGCCTTCGAGTGTGTATATGCATTCACATGTGTGTGGGCATTTGTGTGCAGGTGTATGTGGATGTGCACGTTGGAAGTCTTCCTTGATTGCTCTCCACCTTATTCACTGAGGCAGGGTCACGAAACTGAGCCCAGAGCTATCTCTCTAGAACAATAAAATAGCTCTTCAATACAGTATGCTCTCTATCAGACGAGGAATAAGAGAGTAAAAGAAACAAATAAACATTGAACTATTCAAAACAGGCCAAATACAAACTGATTTCAAAAAGAAGGAACTAGGTCAAATGTGGACATGACACAAAATGAAAAGTGGTTGACTAAATTTCGTAACCACACAACTGAAACATCATGTTTGTCAATTCCTCTCATAACTAATACAATAGGTCCATAAACTCTCATCTAAAACCTCCAGGGCCAGCCAGCTGTGGTAGCTCATTCCAGTATTCCCAGAATTCCCTAGCATGTATGAAATTCTGAGTTACTCTCCTAGTACCACACACAATTACAATATATAGTAATACAAAAAATAATAATACATAAGGTAATAAACATTATATAAATATATCATATATAGATACACTAGTAATACAAATTTTAAGGGATTTTCCAAATTTTAGGGCCCAGGGAGGAAGGCCAAATGGAGATGGAAGGAGAGACTTGAGTCACACTGCCTCATGCCAAGAAATACCAGGAAACACCATACCCTGGTAAAGGAAACTGATTCTTCCATAGAACCTTCATAGGCAGGACTTCCTTACAAAGTCTAAACAAAACCTATAGATACCATTGTGACTGGCTAGTTCAAGCCTGGTTCAATGTTTGCAGCATTTTGGATTTGGGGACATGGATAAGCGATGTGTACCATGTTGGTAATGGTATCTGTAGTGAGAAAGCTTAAGCAACCTTCCTCAGAAGATACATATTCTCCAGAGCCTATGAAGGTTATGTTCCCACCTCATCTAGTTTATCTGTCAAATCACAGACCCTCAAAGGAATATCAAGACTCTGCTTTCGGGGCACACCCTCACCGCTTTGATTAGCATATCCAAATCACTGGATTCAAATGTGTCAGGATTCTGGTGGTTTAGGTGTTCGAACTGCTTCAGAAGAAGGTGGTGATTCATGCCAGTATCTGCAAGAGTATGAGAAAATAGCAAATATCAGTCTCAGAGGACACCAAACATTAACCTCTGGCCTCTACACACAAGCACACGTGAGTGTGCACACACTACTCATGCACACACACAAAATCAAATATACCATGCACACATAAAAGAGCATGCTACAAGCACTTTACATAAGCCAAGCCTCAACGAACAAGTACTGCAAGTGCCCTCCCATCATTGCAGAACCTACCTTGAAGGGAATCCAGCTTAGCTTTGATGAGCATTCTCAGCCTTGCTACTTCTTGCCTCTTCAGTTCATCGAGTTTTGTCCTCACATGGTGACTTACTAAGTCCAGCTCTTTGCTCAGCCTCCCACTCTATCAACAAAAATCAATAAATTAGTTTTGTCTAGTATATTCCATTTGAGACCTGAGGTAACAGAGTAAAAAGAGCATTATAGGAACTGTAGAGATGGCTCAGCAGTTAAGAGCATAGGCTGCTCTTCCAGCAGGCCAGGGTGTGGTTCCCAGCATCCACACGGCAGCTCACAACCATCTATAACTCCAGATCCAGAGGACCCAGCACTCCATCTGATGTCTGTGGGCACTGTGTGCACATGACGCACAGACACACAGAAGAAGAACACCTACACATTAAAAATTAAAACAAATATTTTAAAAATGGCATTATCTTAAATTAGTGATAGTTTGGCTAACTCAGAGAAATTTAACATTATAAAAACATTCCTTTCAGAAGTCTCATTTAAACTGGGCATGATGACTCATTCCTATAATACCAGCACTTGAAAGGTGGGGACAGGAGGATCAGGAGTTCAAGTCCAGTCTAGCCTACATGAAATCCTGTCTCCAAAAATAATAATAATAATAATAATAATAATAATAATAATAATAATTAAAATGAGAAATCTATCTCAGTTAGTACAGTGCTTGTCTACCATATAGGAAGGTTAGCAGTGCACAGACCACACCTGAAATCGAAGACAGGAGGATCAAAAATTCTACATGAGGTGTATGTGATGGTGACGCACGCCTTTAATCCCAGCACTTGGGAGGCAGAGGCAGGCAGATCTCTGTGAGTTCAAGACCAGCCTGGTCTATAAGAGCTAGTTCCAGGACAGCCTCCAAAGCCACAGAGAAACCCTGTCTCAAAAAAAAAAAAAAAATTCAAAGGCTTTGGCTATACAGTGAGCTTGAGGCCAGCCTGGATTACCTAAGATTTCCCTCCTACGAAAGACAGAAACAAACTATTCCTTCAAAGAAGTTCGTTAAAAAGTTAAAAATGGAGTGGGCATGTGACCCAGCAATTCCATCCCCAGGACTAAAACCTAGAGGCTGAAACACATTAGCACAGAAACTTAAGCATCACTGTTCACAGCAGCATTACTTAGAGCAACCAAAATAAGCAGATATAACCCAAATGTCTTCACAACTGATGAACATTTAAAACCTCCAACAGCCCTTCCTCAGTTTAACTCCTAGAATAGGGGATTATTTCCAGAACCTGAACACACATTGAAACCTATGATGAATAAATCCTTTATATATAATGAAATAGTGTCAAATATAATCTGTACAACTGTACATTTTCAATACAACCAGGACATTATACATAATGGTGTTCTTAGGAGGAAGGCAAATGGTTGCACCTGCTGTATTAATGTAAGATACATACAGCTCATTGTCTCATCTGTTAATCTGGAACTGACCAAAGAATCAGGCCTTAACCTGCTCTTCATCTTTGAATAACTTCCTACTGTCCTCAGAACATGATCTAAGCCACTGCACTTGATGTACATAGCTCCCTGCCATTTGGCCTTTGACTCCAACACCATTATCTGGCCACTCATAGCCTCCATTTCTAACTCCAAAGTGTTTCCTGTACATGGTGTGAGTCACAGCCTTTGCATGTTTGGCTCATACATCAGCCAGCCCCTCCCTCTGCCTTCTACAGTTTAGCTCTGACATAATCTCTTCAGGGAAGAATGACTTTGTGCCTTTTCCCACTGCTTTGTATAGGCCACTTGTCTGTCTTCTACCTTTCTGTGATATAACAGCACAGATCCACCCATCCGATCCACTTCTCAATGTGATTTTTCTGCCATGTCTGTTGCTGAACTCTACTCACCCTTATTTCCTCTATGTCTGCTTTCTGGAGCTTTTCTCTGAAATGTTGATCTGTTTCTAGAACATCAATCACTTGCTTGAGGTATTCATCGTAGTAAAGTCCGGTGTCCTTTGTATCAGAAACCAACAGTCACAGTTCAGAAAGTTTGCCTTGGTCTGAACAGAAAGACTTGCATCCTGGAAAAGCAATTTCTAGCAAAATGGCACCAAGACAGAATGTTCTTTGACAGCTTCAGCAATCAAGAAGATCAAGAGTTTTGAACTGGGACCAATATCTCGGTTTATTACAAGATAAGTGTAAATGTCTTGTGTGATCTAGAAAGGGAAGATTTAAGGTTGGATATGTAGCTAGAATGCATAGGCTGCACATTCCACCCCCACCACTGAAAAACAACACAGTGGTGTGGATGAATTTCTAGGAGGAAAAAAATGAATGATCATCTCTCCCTCCTTTGAAAATAACAGTATTTCTCTTTTGAATGATTATTGCTACATTAAAAATGTACTGTGATTAAGTCTTTTATATAACAATTGCACTAAATAGCAGTGGTCAGTGTTCCTGATCACCTGATTCCTGCCCAGGACTCTCCAGAAATAGTTATTCAATGTAGAATTCTATGCACAGACAACATTAGCAATACTTCACAGTCCTTCAGCTGGTCAGAATTTCACATGAGTCATTTAGCAGCAATCCTTGTACTCCACTGGCATAGAATTCATTTAGTTATTCTAATCCACCCATGCACTTACTGGTGGGTCTATCCTTGCACTTTCCACGGGCTCAGTGTTGTGTACTTTGGTCTTGTCTACATCTATAGGCACAGCTTCCAGAGCAGTAAGCATGCACGGGACCAAAAGAAAACAGTACTGTAGCTGGATGATCTTCCACCTCATCTGAAATGAAGAAGTCATTACAGCAAAGTCTGGAAAGATGCTATAAGGCTGTAGACATGTATTCCCAGTGCCAGTGCCGAGTCAATCATATATTCATCCCCAAGAGGTTTAAAAGGGGAAAGAACTCTAGGAAATAAGATGAAAATAGATTATAATTTTTAAAATTGATGCTTATAATTAATCACCAAAGAAAATAGGAGGAGAGCTTCAGGAGTTGGCATGGGCCTATCATCCTAGTACTCTGGTGGCTGAAGCAGGAGGATTGTATGTTCCAGGCCAGCATGGGCTACTTGGTGATATCCTGCCTCAAAACAAACAAAGCCTGGTGGGGTGGTGCATAGCTATAATCCCAGCACTTGGGAGATTAGACTGGGAAGACCTTGTCATGTCTGAGACAAGCTTGAGCTACACAGTGAGTTCCAGGCAAGCCAGGATACCAAAGCAAGATCCTGTCTCAAAAATCAAAAGGAAGGAGGGGAGGAGGCAGGAAGGAAATTAAGGGAGAAATGTTTTTAAGCCAAAATTAAAAAGACAAGAAACAAAACTTTGACTTCTAAACTGTATATATAAGAAAACATTTAGGGGCTGGAGGGATGACTCAGTGGTTAAGAGCACTGACTGTTCTTCCAGAGGTCCTGAGTGCAATTCCCAGCAACCACATGGTGGCTCACAACCGTCTTGAATGAGATCTGCATGCAGGCAGAAGACTGTATACATAATAAATAAATAAAATCTTTTTTAAAAAGTATTAAAAATATATAAAAAAGAAAAAAGAAAACATTTAAAAGTTAGACATGGTGGCTTTCTCTTGTATCCCAGCACTTGGAAGGCGTTCAAGGCCAGCTTGGGCTACATAGTTAAGTTACAGGACACTCTGGGTGCAGAGACATTTAATAAAAAAATAAACAAAAGAAAGTAAACATGGGGCTGGAGAGATGGCTCAGAGGTTAAGAGCACCGATTGCTCTTCCAGAGGTCCTGAGTTCAATTCCCAGCAACCACATGGTGGCTCACAACCATCCGTTATGAGAATTGGTGCCCTCTTCTAATGTGCAGATATACATGGAAGCAGAATGTTGTATACATAATAAATAAATAAATAAAATCTTTAAAAAAATGTATAAGAAAAAAGAAAGTAAACATTTAGACTATAATGGGAATAAGGAACCAGGGGGAGAGGGTAAGGGTGAGAGGTAGGGAGTGGCAGAAAAGATGGAGATATGAGAGGGTAAAAGACAGAAGGGGTGGGGAGATAAAACATTGCTTGTTTAATGTCATGTGAGGAATCTACATTTAAAACCATGTATTTACACACCTGTGACATAAAACCAGAAAGGGAGCTATTTGTGGAGAGGGGGGAAGGGGGCCCATCGAGAGGAAGAAGACTGGTGGGAAGAGGCAGGGGAAAGTAAACAGGAACAAAACACAATGCATATTATGAAAATATCATAATTAAACCCACTATTTATTTCTTATACTAACTAAAAATGGAAGAAAGCAAGCTGGGTATGGTAATGGCACATGCCTTTAATGCCAGGAGGCAGGTGGATCTCTTTATTTGAGGCCAGTCTGGTCTACAAAGTGAGTTCCAGGTCAACCAAAGTTACACAGAGAAACCCTGTCTGGGGAGGGTGGGGGAGGGAAGAAAAAAAAGAAAGCAGATGGGGCAAAAAAAAAAAAGTTAATTCCATAATGCTCAATACAAGAGGCTACAGAGATGGCTCAGTAGTTAAGAGCACTTGCTGCTCTTGCAGAGAACCTGAGCTCAGTCTTAGCACCCACATCAGATTGCTCACAACTGTACATAACTCCAGTTCCAAAGGATATTCTGGCTTCCACAGGCATCAGGCATGCATGTGGTACAAAAACCACGCAAGAACAAAATAAAGAACACATAAAGTAAAAAATAAATAAACCCTAAAAAAATAAATAAAACAAAGGGCAGCATAGACAGTTGTGAGCACTTACTGCTGTTCAGAAACATCTGGCAGCTCATAGCCACCTGCAGCTCAAGTTCTAGAGGATTTGGTGCCCTCTTTTGGCTTCTGTGAGTACTACATGCACATGTACAGACATAAAATATAAATATATAAGTATTAAAAAACAAACAAACAATAACAATAAAAAATAGTGGGAAAACCAGCAAGGCTAGCAAGATTTCCCAGTGGGTAAAGGCATTTCCTAGAAAGGCTAACAAACTGAGTTTGGTCCCTGGGACCCATATTGATGGCTGGAGAGAACTGTAACCACTGAAAGCTGTCCTCCACAGGTATCCCATGACACATAGGCACACTCAGATAATGAATGAATGAATGAATGAATGAATGAATGAATGAATGTAAAAAACAAAGCAGAACCAAGGACAAACAAAAAACAGACAGGTAGTGGTGGTGCATGCCTTTAATACCAGCACTCAGGAGGCAGAGGTAGACAGATCTCTGAGTTTGAGGCCAACCTGGTCTACAGAGAGTTCCAGGACAGCCAGGGCTACAAAGAGAAACTTTCTCTCAAAAGAAACAAAACTAGCCCATAACTGCTTTCAAATAAACAGGCCAAAAAATACCAAGTAGGCCAGGTGTGGTAGCACACCCCTGTAATCATAGAACTCAAGAAGCAGAGACGGGAGGATTGCAGCAAGTTTGTGGCCAGTCTGGTATACATAGAAAGTTTTAGGCCAACCAGGGATATATAGAGGAGACTGTGTTTCAAAAATCATGGGTTTATCAGGTTGGAGAGGTTTCTGTAGTACAGTAATTATGTTCACCTCCCACAAGTAGGATGTCAGGGGTTAAAGCAAAAGAGAAAAAGGTTTCACGTATTTTGAATACTATAGTTCACATTTTATTCTGTTTTCATAATGATTCAGTGCTCTAGGTCTCCTGCAAGGATCAGAAATGATTAATATCTGACACTGTGTGCTTACATACATGAAGGCTTAAGCTAGAGATCAGATCAAGAATAATTCTAAGAACATGTACAGCATGGAGGAAGGCGTACAGGAAACAGATACAGTACTCAGAAAGCCATAGAAAAGGTCTGAGACCTGAAGTGACTGACACCCAAGCAGGAGGCTACCTGTGAGTAGCTCCTTGGCAGAAATGCAAATTCCCAAGGCCTATGCTGGTCTTGCAAACCACAGACTTGGGAAGAGCCCCACAATCTCTTTTATCAATTCCTGTAGCTAATTCCGAAGCAACGGAAATCATTGCCCTCTGCTGTACTGTTTAGAAGACTTATCTCCAAGGTACTTTGGGGGCTGGGGATGTAGCTGGGCAATAGAAACACTTGCCAATTATGTATAAGGCCCTGCATTTCATCCCCTGCACTAGGGTAGGTAGCAGTGTGTTGATCCAAATATAATAGAAAATGAGTTTATACCTAACAGCAGGGCAGAATCAAATTTAGGTGTATAATCTTCTTTGTTCCCATTTTTGTATGTAGATGGAATGTGGTATACGCCCATGCTTGTGTTCACCTGGTGGCCAGAGACTTCACACCTTGTTTTCTGAGACAAGATTTCTTGGTGGGGCCTGGAGCTTGCTAAGTAGACTAAGCTGGCTGGCTTGGGATCTACTTGTCTTCACTGCCCTGTGCTGTGATTATAAGCACTTGCCACAAAGCCTGGCTTTTTACGTAGGATCTAGAAGTCAAACTCAAATCCTCATTCTTGCACAACAAGCACTTTACCAACTAAGCTATTTTCCCACTGCCCCTCTATACTCCAATGCTAGCTGAAACTAGCCACAGTTGTACCTATGACATCACAATTCAGTCACCGAAATTTTTTAACTTGGGGGATTTCTCTAGACCTCACTATTCTTTCTTTAATGAGACAAGGGTCATGTGGTCCAGGCTGGTCTCAAACTTTCTGTGTAGCCAAGGATAACCTTGAACTCTTGGTTCTTCTTCCTCTTACATGCCTGGACCATCACATCCAGTTCAACCTTAGAATTATAAATCCCACTATCAAATTAGTGAGTAAAGTAGAGGTCTTTTCTGGTACCTAAATCAGAAACACCAATAAAATTGCTTGTGCTCAAACCAATTGTACAAGGTTAAACAATTTATAAAAACCTTTAAATTAAACCTCTAGTAGAACAGGGCTTACAAAGCAAGCCTAACATTATACTGGTAAAGCAAGAAGTTGGTACCAGTCCTCAAACACAAAAGCCAACAGCAAGGCCAGCACAGATCCACTACCAAAGGAAGTTCTTATCTAGAGACTACAGAAAAAGAGGTGAATCCAAGAAAAGGCCATACTCTGGAAACTGGCTCTGCCCTAACTCCTGGCTTGCTTCAGGCAGACAGGAAGGATGCTCAGGCTGAGAAGCTGATGGGTCTGTGTTCATTCACTCTGGGTCCAGTTTCAGTTTTACATGGCTAAGACAATTCATCATGATACGCCATTCAAAACCAAAGACTATTTTGTTCTTCAGTCATTTTGAAAAGCCAAAGACTGAGATTTTAAGGAGAAATCTGTGGTTTTAACAATCAAATATAATAGTAAACACAATCAAGAGCAAAAACAACACAAGTTATATGTATGATTCAATCCATGTTAAAATGCCCCAACAGGCAAATCCCTAGAGAAGTAGATTATCACTGCTTAGAGCAGAGGGTATCCGGAGAGGAAAGCAGCAGCAAAGGCTGCTGGGAAGAATTTGTTCAGTGTGGAGGAAACTGTGTTAAGTCAGATAGAGGGGACAGCCATACAACATCAGAGTGCACTAAAATCAATCGACTGAATTTAAATTGAGATGAAGTATAGCTCGGTATGGGGACACATGTAGTGATATATTGTTTATGATTTATTAAAGCTTGCCTGAGGATTCAACCACAAGCCATAGAAGCCAGGCACACACCTTTAATCCCTGCAGCCAGAAACTAGGAGGTGGTATAAACACCTTTAATCCTAGGACTCAGGATTAAGAGGTAGATGGATCTCTCTGAGTCTAAGGCCACCCAGATCTACACAGGAGTGAATCAGTCTAAAATAGAATT